TAAAACAGAGAAACAGCTAAAGATACTAAAATGATCCAGGATAAAGTGATGATTAGATAAATATAAAGAAGGCTATGAGAATAGGCTAGATTCATGCATCCAGGATGGTGACTAAAAACTACATATAACCAACCGGCTTGACTTGACTTGGGACACCTACAGATATCACAAAGGAATTTCATAAAATCTTCAAAGCAAAAAGGCATCTCATCTGTTCATTCTCACAGTCATTTAAAAAAAAAAAAAGGGAAAGCATCAGAAAATGATTAATAACTATCTGTAACCCACCAATTACATGAATTTTATTTACATTTGGTTTTACTTACATAAATATAAAGAGCAGCAAAATCTGCTCTTTTTATTTAATGTTACAACTTGAAAATTATCCCCTCAATAAAAATAGACTTCAGAACATTTGGAGCCACCAGAGGAAAGAGGCAAGGAAGAATTTTCCCTACGACTTTACAGGATGCATCACTGCCTTGCCAATACAGTGATTTCAAATTTCTGGCCTACAGAACTGAAAGAGAATAAGTGTGTGTGTGTGTGTGTGTGTGTGTATTTTTTTATATAATTTTTTTTCCTTTAACAGCATATCCTTTAATGGCTGCCTAATATTTCTTTATTATAACTTTATAATGTTTTGCTTAGCAATTTCCCTATTAGATACAGTTTGTGAATTTTCAACATCATAAGTAACTGTAATAATTATTTCTATAAATAAGTCTTTATTATATCGTCTTTCCTTAGAGTAAATTCCTAATAATAAAAGCATTCAATAAAAGGGTTGGAACAAGTTTTTATACAAAATTACCAAAGTCCCTCAGAAAAGCTACACTAATTTCTGTCACCTTACCCCACACAGCTCTGAGTTCCCAATATACTTCCCTATTACCAGCACCAAACACTTTTATCCTCAAAGCAAAAATTAAAATGAACCTACAAATATAATACAAAAGCACCTCCAAAAAAGAACTACCTCATCCAAACCAAAACATTAAATGCCACTGGAAACAAGAATGCACATGTGCACAAGGGTTTATCAAGGACATTATAAAACTACCCCTGAAAAATAACCCAAATCTGCATGGAATATTGGCAGGGGTCTTGCAGCATCCTTCTACTATGAAGTCACTATATTTTCATCCAAATCACTGTCACCAAATCCTATTCTATAATTGAAATATAAGTTTTTGTATTAGATTTGATTTGCAATAACAAAGACTCCAAATTCGATTAAATTGCACAAAACCATTCTGTACCTTCCCAAAGTCATCATATAGATTCATCTTAAAGCTCAATGAAAACCTGACATGGTTACATCACTGACATTACCCTTTCTCTGTGTCAAGTATGAAAAACAATTGTCTTTACAACTCTCTTACTTTAGCAAAATTACTAAGCACTTTAAAGGAAGAAATGTGAAGTAAAGTTTGTATGAGTCTCTGAAAGGTTTGGCTTTACATGATTTCTGCCCAACATCTGCCAAACATCTTTTCAATCAATATTCCAATGGTGCCAAGTTTTTCACTTCTCTAGTTTTTCCTGAAATTGCTGTGGCTGAACTGACTTACACTATAAATAAAACTACTTCAACACAATAAAATGCCTATTGGAAGTGATTTGTAATCAGCCTAAAAAGTACCCAATGACATGAATAAAATAAACTAAAAATAAAACCAAATCATATATTTATGATTTCCAAGAGAATTTTCTTTTTTTCTTTTTTTTTTTTTTAATATTTATTTATTTATTTATTTTTAAGTTTTCGGCAGGCACAACATCTTTGTTTGTATGTGGTGCTGAGGATCGAACCCGGGCCGCACGCATGCCAGGCAAGCGCGCTACCGTTTGAGCCACATCCCCAGCCCTCCAAGAGAATTTTCTATTTTGAAAATTCCATGCCCAGCAAATAAATTATTTCTGTCTACAAGACGAAAGAGTCAATATATTAGAATATATTAAAAATTACAAATGATAACTAAGACAAATAATTATGGGTCTGTTAGGTATTTATTAATTCATTAAAGTCTGATCATACAACTGGAGACAAATTCGAGAAATTATTTTATTAATTGTAAAGTAGTTAAAAAAATGATCTGACAGCCTGTACATATAAATATAAACCTTATAAATCTCAGATAACTCAGTAAGATTTGACAACTGGTTTTTTCTTTACAGAAACAACTTGCATAGGAATACACACAGAAAGCCAGTACATTCTCTCTCACCAGGTTGCCTAGCTAAATCTTAAATTATTCTCTTCAAAGTTTTAAACGCTATCCAAAGCAGAAGTACATATTCTACACAAATTCTCAAGAAACTTCCAACCTTAAACAGCTGCAAAAATTCTCCTAAATCCCATACCATTCATTCTAAACCACTGGAGCCAAATAAGCAACAAGAAACTCTCAAATGGGGTTAAAACATACTGAATGATAAGAGAACTCATGTCAAAAATAGAAAACAAACCAACTTGGATTCTCCAACATGGAAGAAAGCCTAAACCACCCCAGCAATCTAGGAAATAAACTATTTTCTCTTAATTATGACTTGGATTTACTTTCCCACATCAGTTCAATGGCCACCAGAGATTAAAACTAAGCATATTTTTCCTCTCTTGCCATTATGTATATGTACATGTTATATGTGTGTGTTCTGTTTACTGGAGTTTACCGCCAAGGCTTTTAAATGTGTTTGAGAGCAAATTGCTGAACCCCTGGGTGGGCAGGAAAACAGTCCAGAATGGTGGTTTTGTATAATGTCAAGCACATTAATGGGACTCACCAAATACTGTATTTATTTTACTTGTGGCTTTGGGGTGGGGGGGCGACATACCAGTATTTTTTCAAATACAAAATGTAAACCAAAAACAAGGAATCATCCAGACCAACTTATTCCCCCTGAATCTCTAACATTATAAACCCTCATTCTTCATTATATCTATATTATACATTCTACCTTTGGTGTAATTAGGTTCTGAAACCTTCCCAAGGGTCTTGTATTTAAATAACAAGTGTTTTGCCAAAAATACTGATACACTGAGTTCTATATACCATTCCTACCTGCAAAGGAATACCATCAGGACAACGGACAAGACAGTAACTGCACTGGGATGGCAGTCATTGCACTAACTATATAGCAGCTCACATTGAAAAAGGGCCAATACCTCAGTCCTAGAAGCTATTCAGCTGTGATAGTCAAGAGGAAAACATGACGTTCCTCTACATAATTTTAAGTTAACCGGATATGGTTTGGGCGACACACACACAAACCTATTTTGCTACCTACAAAACAAAACAAAACAAAAATCTCATTGTTCTGATTAAATTTTTTTCCCAGTTTCAAGTTTTCTCAATTGGACCAAGGGAGAAAGATGATTTCACACCTGACATTCTTTTACCTTTAGAAGTAAAGGGTTTTGGCAATCTAACTGAAATGTTTCAGAAGCAGTGATTATCTTGATGTGCTAAGTGAATTAATTAAACAGCAATTTCTAAAAGCAAACTGGCATCATTTAAAAAAAATGTTAGTGATCAGGAAGTAAATTGCAAAGCAATCAATAAGGTTCAAGAAAAGAGTGAAACTTGCATATTCAAGTGTCTCTTTCAAAAAGAATGATATTCCTATATTTGTAGAACAACAAGCGTGTAAAAAAACACTTTTCAAAATAATAAACTAGGCGACTTCCTCAAAAGGTAAGAAAACAGTTTTCAGCTTTTTGCAATTCACCTGGATTGCACAACCATACAACTGTGTTTTAAGAGAAAAATATTTTGCAGTTTCGCATGACCTTAGGTCTCTCCTCTTATCTTGTACATAGCCCACTATACAAGTGGATAATGTCCAGGTCCTAGGTACATTGATGAATTCCTCTGCAACGTTTGGTTTCACTCTCCGAATTTCAGTCTGCACACAACACGGTGTCTCAACAATAATCTCACCACCCTAACTGCTTTAGAATCAGTTTACCTTCTGTGTCCTTTATTCGGATGTAATACCTGTAAAAACCCTTTACAGATTATATTAAGATGTGTATTTCCTGCATGTGCACTCTTAAGTTCCTTTTAGAATGTTTAAGAACTCAGTTATGTAGGATCTTTAAAAGCAAGAAAAACAGTTTCTTGGACTCCAGATAATGTACTTACAGGAACAGAATCATATGATATCACAAATATCTTAGCTGCAAAATTCTGAAACATTTGTTTCTGAGTTCCTCCCCCGCCCTGCACCCTGGTCCACACATTTACTAAATGTGTTTCCACAAAAGGAACGCTCTGCAGCCTCAAAACTTTTTTAAACTCATTACTTTAGTCGCACTACATAAAATTTATATTCTAAGTCAATGTCTTATTAAAACATCCTCGATGAGCACTTTTCACTTTTATTCTGCTTCCCCCATTCCACATCGCTCCGAAACATACAAAAGCTAATCGCCCAGGTTCGGGGGTCTTTTGACTCATCAGAGAAGAATGCAGCTGATAAGTTATCTATTAATCCAAACTGTCTCGGCTAGGTATTTCACCAAGAATTTTTAACACTGAAAGAGAGGGAAGTGGGTAAGGAACTGAGGTGTCTTTTCACGAGAACTTTTCCCCGAGTTTCTTCCTTAACCAACCTCCTAAGTTTCAGTTCCAGACACAGAGAACTAAGTTCTGACGCTCCTGGTCCAGATCGTCTGAGGTCACTCAGGAGTCAGCTCTCGATTCCGCTTTTAAAATCCCAGGCAAACAAAGCTCACCATTATACTTTAAAAAGTGTCCCAAAAGTCCTCAGAGTTACGCAATTGTGGACACGCAGATGCGCGTGGACACAGACACACAGTCCCGGAGCCACATTTCGGGGCTGCGTCTCGGGGCAACGATAATTCCCAAACCTTTCAACGCGGCGCCCCCCTCCCCGAAGCGCAGCCGGGAGCCCGGGACTAGCGCCAGCGGCCGCCCGCCAGCCCGCACTTCCGACCCAGGTCGCACTCGCCACCGCACCGAGCCCCTCAGTACCTCTTCCTCCTGAAGGTTGGCCTCATTCGGGGTGTTCTCCTTCTCCGCTTTGCCTCCGTTGTTCATTTTCCCGGTCCTTCCTCGCCGGGCAGGGCTGGGGCGCGGGGCTGGGTGACGGCTCACTCGCCCACTTTTGCCTTCCCCGGGCGCCGGGGCTCCCTCGGGCGGGGGCCGCGGGCTGCGGGGGTTGAAGCCGGAGCAGCGGCGGCTGGGGCTCGGGCTCCTGCGGCGCGGCGACACAGCGGCGGCCCGAGACTCAGGAAATGCGAGGGAAAGAATGGGCAGGGCGCGGGCGCGAGCCGACGGAGCAGCGGACGGAGACAATCGGGACCCGGAGGGAGACCTGGAGAGGGAGGGCGGGCGCGAGGGAAGGAAGGAAGAAAGGATGGGGCGAAGACGCGCGTCCCAAAAGTGAGCCCTGAGAGTTGGGGATGTGGTCGAATTGGGGTTGGGGGCTGCTGCTGCCGGTGCCTAGCAGTTGCTGAAGGAGAGGACGAGAGGTGGCCAGAGAAAAGGAGAAAGAAGAGTTGGTCGTGGTGCGGGTCGGGGGCCGCGGCGGGGACGCTGGGACCCGTAAAGCCGCTGAGTGCGTGCTCCTGGCAGGCTCTGGGAGTACTGGATGGAAGCAGCTCCCTTTCTCTACCCTTTCTCCCTCCCCTCTCCTCTGCCCTCCCTCTCTTCCTCCCTCCGCCCTCTTTGGACGTGGGCTGCAGGCTTCAGCCCACAGGGATGGGACAAGGAACGAGAAGCCCCCCGCGGGAGGAGGAGCCGTGCCGAGCGCCGCTGCCCCGCAGCCGGATGGCGCGCGCCGGGGAGGGGAGGCTGGCCCGGCGGAAGCGGCCGACCCCAGACCCCGACTCCGCGGTGGGTTGGAGGGCGAGGGCCCGGGAGTTGGCGGGAAGAAGGTTAGGTCCTCCGATTTACTTGCGGGATCCCGGCGTCCCAACCTGCCCTGAGTTGGCCAACTCGAGTGTCTACGCGCGTGGGTTTGTGGAGGGGATTCGGGGAACCGAGGACCTGGCAGTGCTACTTTGTTAGCCTGCTTTTCACCAGGAAAACAAATTGCACCCCTATGCCTAAGCCTACCCTCCTTGTCAGTACCAATTGAGACCCAGTTGGCAGTTCTCCTGGTTGGCAGCTTAAAATGGGAAAGTTCAAGTGATACCGGGGCCGGCTTTTTCAGGACCTGGTTTCAAACCCATTTCAAACGCCCGGGTTCTAAGAAACATCTTCAGCCTACCCGCTGCGTTTTTGCTCTCAAGGCTTCCGGTGGCCCCCTGTTCAGACTCCTCGCAAGTCTCACTGGACTATTCTGGAACCATTTGTTTACCTGGCAGTCTCCTCACTCTTAGGGGAGCTCCTTCCTGGAATGCAAGACTGTACCCCTTCTTATCTCTTTAATCCCACTGCTATTTAGATGAGCTACCTGGCACTCTGTAAATACTTGTTGGCTAAGTGAATACTCCTTACTGCAAACAGAACTGGAGGTCAGCACAACAATCTGCAGAAGGTCAAAGCACCAAGTACTCAACATCTGGCCTGGTCATAATCCAACCTCAGAAGGATCGCATAGCTTGTTTCCTCATCTATGTAATGGGAGAGTTATATGTAATTTCTCAGGATTTTAGAGGATATTACAGATGGATAGAGTTATAGCACCTAGGGCTCAATTCCTGATGAGTTTAGGTTTACATTACATGAAAGTTAACATTATTATTAAGGAGGTGGCCATTTCCCCCCCAATACTGAATTATTTAAGTTTTTGAATTTGACTGCTACAAACTAAAATTTTAAATTTCAAGCTGGGCCTGGTGGTGTATGCCTGTAATCCCAGTGACTCAGGAGGCTGAGGCTGAAGGATCATAAATTGTAGGCCAGCCTCAGCAATTTAACAAGATCTTCAGCAATTTAGGGACACTGTCTCAAAATAAAAAGAACTGGGGATGTTGCTCAGTGGTAAATTGCCCCGTTCAATGCTCAGTACCAAAAACAATTTCTTAAAAAATTTTTTACTCCATGTATTGATAGACTCTACCTCACTTCTAACACCTAGGAATTCTCAGTGTACTGATGTTCCTTTTGTGCCCAGCACCAATCACAACTTCTAATTATTATTTGCTTGCTTAACCATTTACAACTCCCCTTACTCCCCACCCCACCCCCAACTAGACATTCTTTACCCTACACTGGTTTAAGTGCCATTGGGGCCAGGGTGGAGGAGGTGGTGGGAGTTTGAAGATAAGAGCCCTGCCTTTAGGGAGTTTGAAGTGGTGTTGTGGAGACAAGATACCCAAAACAACTCCACAGCAACATAATCACAGAATCCTGGTTCAAATTATAGTAAGCAAAACAATTTTTTTTTCCTCTTTCTTTCTTTCTCTTTCTTTCTTTCTTTCTTTCTTTCTTTCTTTCTTTCTTTCTTTCTTTCTCTCTCTCTCTCTCTCTCTCTCTCTCTCTCTCTCTCTCTCTCTTTCTTTCTTTCTTTCTTCTCTCTTTAAAGGAGTTATAAAGAGAAATGCAGTAGTGGTACTTAGGTTTACATATTGAGTTTTTCTCCGGGGTGGTGGTCTGAAGGTTTTGAAAAAGAAAAAAAGTTGTTAAAGGAAGAAAAAAAAATCTCTTTCATTGCTGACACAATGTCATTGCTCTCCATAGGAACTGTATACCTGGAGGGAAATAAGCCAAGAGTCTATTGAAGCTGCAACTGAAAAAATTCAGAAGAAGCAAGGCTACCATGAATCAGGAAACTTTGCCCATGTTTTGATGAATTGATTGTGTTAATTGGCATCCCATCCCAATGCCAGCTTTACCTCAGTTATATGAAGAACCACGAGGGGGCAATGTCTTCCTGAGCAATAGCTGATGGTGGTCCTGAACCCCTGTGCTGGCCAGTAACCAACACTTTGCCCTCCTTGGCCATTCTTGCCTGTTACTGAATACATTCCACAGAAAGGCATTGTTTTGCTGGAGCCTGGCAGGGACCCAAAAAAAATGACAATTGATCTAGTCCTTGATGGTTCCAGTCAGACCCCACTTAGTAGGTAGAATATGTTTTTTTTTTTTTTTAATATTTATTTTTTAGTTTTTTTCGGACACAACATCTTTGTTTGTATGTGGTGCTGAGGATCGAACCCGGGGCGCACGCATGCCAGGCGATCGCGCTACCGCTTGAGCCACATCCCCAGCCCGGTAGAATATGTTGTGACTGCAGGATGCTGGGAGAACCTTCCCTACCCCCACTCAGGGAAATGTGGCTTAATTCCAAATATAGAACCTAATTCTTTTGTATTTAAGCCAACCAGGATTTTGTCCATTGTTGAAAGTCAGAAACCTGTGGGATAAGAAACAAAACCAAGTTCCATGAGAGGAGCCATGCCTGGCTTATTCATTGTTTTGTTTCAAACATCTAGACAGTGCCTAACACATAGTAGGCACATAATTTTTTAAAAATTTATTTATTTATTGCTTTTTTGGGGATTGAACCCTGGGGCACTACCACTGAGCTATATCACCAACTGTTTTTGAGACAGGATCTCCCTAACTTACCTTACTGGCCATAAAGTTGGATTCTTCTGCCTCAGTAACTGGAATCACAGGCATGTGCCACTGCACTTGGCCACTCAGTTATTTTTTAATGAATCAAATCTTATCGGGTACTAATTATTGGAGTTGAATGGCATTATGGGATACTTTCAAGATCCTGGGAGAAGGACTGAATTATTAGAAGACTCTTTGAGTGGAGACTCATCACAAGGTCACTGGGCAGGGTCATGGCATGAGTCTTTATTCAGTCTTTATTTATTTTGTGAGGGGTAGGACCTAGATAAAAACTTTGTGCAGAGTGGAACAACTAATGAGATTTCAACAAATAAAAGGTAAAATCACACCATGGCCTTGACACAACAAGCAACAGAGTTGAGAAGACAACAGGATACCTAAAATTTATATAGTCACTGGGAAGGGGAAATGCAGGGTGTTTGCAGGAAAGCGGAGAAGAATGGGATAACATGGCAGGAGGAAAGGGATTTCTGTTTGCTGTCCTTTCCATGAAGAATGGTTTAGACTTGTTTGGAAGAAAAATCAGTAACGTATTATCAACAAAACCCAAGGAAAATCTATAAACAGACTTCCACTATTTATAAAACTTTATAACAGAAGGGAGAGAGAGAGAGAGAGGGAGGGAGGGAGGGAGGAGGGAGGATGTTCGTTCAATCAGGTTATAAATGATCTTTATGACTTGTTTACTACTTCAAAGAAAGTTTCAAAAGTAAGATCACTTGGTAGCGATAGTTTCCAGACCTACTAAGAATTATAAGATAACAAAGGGATGTTATATCCTGGAAAAATTGGGCTAATGACCAAGAGACATCTGCCTTCTCCCCTGTCCACTGCCCTACCATATTTCTGTCTGGCCTACAAGGTAACATGCCAGATTGAAAAGGAAATATTGTATGCACCTGTAGTTTTTATGACTCATCACTGTTTCTCTGGCAGTGTTCCTTTTGAGGCTTGCTTTAAGAAATCCAAACCTATAATTATGTCTTAAATGTTTGTCTCTGGGAATTGCAGACATTAAAGATCTATTTTGAGGCTATTTGCATGGCATGGGCTCTAGACCTATGCTAGCTTTGCAACAGAAAGCTGCAGTGTCTACCATGTGTTGTGATTGTTAAAATCTTCCACAGAGCCAAGGAAGTTCTTGAGGCCAAAGGCTGTTTTACTGCTGTCTGTCATACTTGATAACCCTCTCTCCCTCACCCTGCTGCCATCCTCCTCCAGGCCATCATCTTCCCTGTTCTTATATATTTATGTTCTTGGTTTTTTTTCTCTCTTAGTAGCAAAAGATACATAATATAAAATTTACTGTCTTAACTATTTTAAGTACACATTTCAGTAGTGTTAAGTATATTCACACAGTTGTGCAACATCCCCCTGATTTATTTTAATTTTTACTTTTAATTTGTTCTAATTAGTTATACATGACAGTAGAATGCATTTTGACACATTGTACACAAATGGAGCACAACTTCCCCCTGATTTTTACCTCCTTAATAGTTCTGAGATCCACTCACTTCCCAGTGATCATTTGAGGAAGTCCATGCAGCCACATGCAAAGGCTGTCCTGGAGGAGA